ATCATGTTATCACAGTAAAAGCTGGGGGGATCCATGGGGCCCTACCAAATTCACAGTCCATTTCGGTCAATGTCATGGTCACACACTGGTGTAATTGTAGGGGTCCTGACCCAAAAAGCAGTTGTGGGTAGGTTGCAAGGTTGTTGTGTGTGTGTGTGTGTGGGGGGGGGTGTTGTGGTACTGCTACCCTTACTTCTGTGCTGCTGCTGCTGGTGGCGCTGCCTTCAGAGCTGGGCAGCTAGAGAGTGGTGGCTGCTGGCCAGGAGCCCAGCTCTGAAGGCAGAGCCTCCACCAGCAGCAGTGCAGAAGTGAGGATGGCATGGCATGGTATTGCCACCCTTACTTCTGCATTGCTGCTGGCAGGGCACCACCTTCAAAGCTGGGTGCCTGGCAACCAGCCACTGCTCTCCAGCCACCCAGCTTTCAAAGCAGCGCAGAAGGGTGACAATAGGGCAGCCCCCCTAAAATAGCCTTGCGACCCCCCTGTAACTCCCTTTTGGGTCAAGACCCCCAATTTGAAAAATGCTGGTCTCATCCGTGCAATCTGTATAGTATAGGGTAAAAGCACTCAAAAGACCAGATTTCATGCTGAGACATTTTACGGTCCATTGCATGTTTTTTATGGCCATGAATTTGGTAGGGCCCTAGTTATCCGGTACTTTACCAACCAGAAAGCTCTATAAACTGGCATTTCGGGAAATGTGCGGGATGCACGTGCTGGGAGGCAGTTTGGGTGCGGGAGGGGTTTTGGGCATGGGAGGGGTATCGGGATGCCGGATCCAGGCAGCACTCATCTTGGGAGGCTCCCTGCAAGCAGCGACATGTCCCTGCTGCTCCTACGTGGAGGTATGGCGAGGCAGTTCTGTGAGCTGCCTCTACTCGCAGGCGCCGCCTCTGCAGCTTCCATTGGCCGCAGTCAATGCTCCTAGGCAGAGGAACCACCACAGCGGCTCCATGCGCTGCCTCCACCCCGAGTGGCCAGGGACCACGACCAATGGGAGCTGCGAGGGAGGTACCTGCAGGCAGAGGCAGCCTTTGTCACAGGTGCTTGGCTAGCTAGTTCTTGTTCACATGCCCAGGGTCTACTGACCACCATTTGTGGTGTCAGGAAGGAATTTTCTCCCAGTTGACCGTGGGAGATTTTCGCCTTCCTCTGCAGTGTGTGGGTGCAAGTCCCTTGCCGGGATTATCTGGGTAGAACTCATTCATTTCCCTGACATTGCAGGGGCTGCCTGAAGCACTGGAACACCTCAGTCCCTCCTGTTCTCTGCCTGGTGCAGATAGTAGTCTAGTCTCCAGCAGGCTGTAATGCTTTGGTCTCCTTTCAGGTGTTGGGTTTAGTGACTGGTGCAGATGGCCTGTGATATCAGGCTAAATGATCTAGCGGTCCCTTCTGGCCATAACTCCATGATTATGACTCATGCTGTAAAGGGACACACAACTGGCATGCTGAATGAAGTTACGCAGCACTGGGCATTATCTTTATTATGTATAAGAAATTTTTTTTATAACTGATTAAATCTAATTCTTTCACTAAAATTAGTTCCAGGTGGAGCTATAAAGGTAGCAGTGCTATGTTTGATAAAAAATGCCAAATTGCTATAATCATTAAGGGCTGCGCAGCCAAAAAGTTAATAGATCTGGATGTCACTTGATAAGCAAATTTCATATAAATCAGAGTTGCCTTTAAAATATTTCAATATTTGATCCTTCTTTCAGGTTATTCCACTAAATGTGTATAAACAAAATTGTGAAAGATGTCATGTCTGAGATAAGCCATCAGTAAGGTACTTCAGAGACCAGCACTGGGCTGTTGTGCTTGTGTAGAGAAGTAAAGTTTGCAAACGACCAAAAATTGTAAGTCTCTTTAGTGACACACAAATCTCAGAAAGATTTAAACACCTCAGGGCAGTGATCTATAAAACAGGTGATTAGCCCAATGTGACCTATGTAGAGTCATTCATGGTAGGACTAAAGATTCAAAGACCATGTGTGTATCTGGATAGACATCACAAATGTACTGAACCCTGGTGATGCCTCATCTGAAGGACTGTATCCATTGATGGTGTTACTGAAACGTAGAGGCACAAATTATGAAAGAGGTTCAGAAAAGTCAACTAAAAGTAAAAACTATGGCCTGTCTTACCACAGACATAATAGATAAGCCTGTATGCTTTGGAGAAGATGGTTACTACAGGAAAATCTTGTTTGTTTCTATGAAGAAAACGTTGGTCACACCAAATATTTTGTGACATACAAAGACTACTAAAGCATTGTTCTTCGTACCCACAATTTCATCACCAGAGCTCCAACAAATGAAGTACTCTTAATAAGGACTGCTAGCGCAATACAGCCATTAAACACCACAGTCCAGCTTTGATGTAGAACAGCAATGCTCTACTCTGGCTCTATAGACACGTGTAGCTGTGCATGGACTATCTGCACCAGGCTTTTGATGTGCACTTCACTCAGTACCAGGTTCCAAGCCAGTTACAATAGATGCATACTCCATAATGCAGTGTGGAATGGAAAAGGAGATGCTAGGATCCCTTGAAAGCAGAAATGAAGTGTTCCTCCTTATGTTAACCGGGTGGGAAACAGAGTGATATTCTCCTCAAAGTACTATAAAAAATGCAGATGTTTTACAACCGTCAAATATCAAAGGTGTTCATTGTAACAGATTAATTGAATCTCAATCCAGACAGTATGGGAGGGAGGTAAATCTCCCATAGATGAGATCAATGGAAGCACACAAACTGGATCTACCTCCATTTTGGATAGCCAGCCCGCTCTCTAAAAGATTCCTTAATTTTAAAGCTTACTACTCCCCACTTCAACATAGCCTAGATTGGCTGACTTTCATGGCACACTGCAAAGTGTATCTGCTTACTCAACCTTCCGGAGGTGTTGCAGGGAGCAGCTTGATGGGACTGTATGGTTGTGGGGCAAGAGTTTTCTGGGGAGCTACTGGTGGATTAACCTGCATGATCAGGCCCTAAGGCAACAGATGCTTAATAAGTACCATTGAAGTCAACGGGACTATTCACATATCTAAGTTCTTGCAGAATTGGCGGCTCGTAAGTATGTCACAGGCACCTAGAGTAATAAATACCATTTTACAAGTTTCACCATAAATTTCTAACAATGCTAATCTCACCACAGCTCCATTCACTGACCCAAGTGGCTCTTCACTTGTGAAAAACTGAATGCCATTGGTAGAGAGAGTTGCTAATGGAGTTCAGGTACAATACAGTACAATTAAAGCAAACAGACAGTAGTTTAAAATTTCAGGTCAGGGACTTGTCTCCTCAGTATAAACACCCTGTAAGCGGAGATACTATACTGTTAGTCTGAAGACTCATCTATGAATGGACAAATATTTCATCCACGTAAATGATACTGGATAAGCAGAATAGAAAACTTGCTGGACAAGAGATGCAAAAAAAGCTGACCTTTCAAAAGAGGGAGCATTTTACTCTGAATATGCACAAAACATTCACACTTCTAAACCTGTACAGGGTGACCAGGGAGGACCTTTTCTAATCCACATAGGTATTTGTCAATTTCAGTGTTAAATCTGGTGTAATAAACAGGGGACATACCCTTTGACCCCAATGTAACAAAGGATCAACAGAGCTCCTGGAAGGAACAGAGGAGAACATGGCAAATTGGTTTAAAAAGAAGCTGGCCCATCCACCACCTCCCTCACGCTCTGATGTTACCTTTACTGCTGCTCCCTAAATGAACAAAGCAGAGACTCAAGGAGGGGGAAAATAAAGTGAGGAGGCAGCTCTCTCCCACTGAGTCTAGCACTGACCTGTTGCCTACCCCTCTAGTCTTTCAGTTAAAAAGACAAATAGGTGGGGTTTGAAATATTTTCTATGCAATTAACAGCCAGAAAGATTCAAACCCATGCAGAAGGCCACACCAGGAAGTTCAAGAGGCAATGCCATGTTGAATAACCCAGCTTCACTCCCAGCAAGGGCAGAGTATGCTGAGATTCCTATTCAGGTGCGCTCTCTGGCATCAGCTCATGAGTTTTATCTTCTCTACCAACTGCTCTCTTATTTGCATCCTAAATACTTCCACGTATGCCAACTAATACCTCCTCCTCGATGTATAATCCTTTCTGCTATTTGGAGACCGCCCTCCCTCCCCCTATTCCTGCCCCACTGTCACTTTATAACCCTTTCACAAGCAAAATCTTTCCTCAAACCAAGCCGAGCAGTACCCTTTTATTGTATTCTCCTGGCAGCTCTCCAGTCTGTCACTTTTTCCAAGAGTGGCACTCAAAACTGAGTATTAAAGAGGTGGTCGGAAATGAAACAGAAAAACTAGCACCTGCCTACTTTGGGATCGCCCTGCATACACTGCCTAAAACTACCTTGACCTTTTTCCTGCTCCATTCGGTTGAATGGGCACAGAACCATAAACCAAGCATGCTGAGCGGAGATATTCGGGGACAGTTGTTTTAGCCGAAGCCTGCAGGAAGGCTGTTCCCGATGTCAGGACCTGTAGAAGAAAAGGGTCTGACACAGCCATGTTGGAGGTGGGCCCAGGGTTAGAGAGAGCAGCATATCCAGGCAGGGGGTTAGGAACAGGGCAGCTGGTTTTGAACCAACCCCAGCAGAGCGGAGGACGAGGAGGAACATGGCTGCACGTGTGAGGAGGGGGCAGCAGCACTGCCCAGGCGGGAGGGCGAGGGGAGGCACTGCCGGGCCGGGGAGGCGCGATGCCCCCGGGTAGCAGGCAGCTCTGCCGGCCAAGGGAAGGGGCAGGCGAGCCGGGGTATGGAGCAACCCCCATCTGACCCAGCCCGCGGGCCACCGCCCCTCCTACCCCCGCCGGCGGCTCCAGCCGCCCGATGCGCAGCGGGCTCCGCCGGGGCAGGGGAGGAGCCGCCCCGCGGCTGCGGCCCAACGGGGAAACGCGCAGCCCGGGCCGGCTCGCAGGGCCTCGGCCCCCCGCCGCCGCACAGCCCCGCCTCACGCCGGCGGAGCGCGGCTGTTTGGCCGGAAGCCGCCTCCCCTGCCCCGGGGCGGCAGCCGGGCCCCGTCCCGTCCAGTCCCGCACTCACCTACGGCAGGGCTCGCGGCAGGGCGCTCCCCGGGGCCTGGACGGGTCTGCGCGCGGGGCGGGCGGGCGGCGCGGCCTCTCCCGCTGGGTCCCAAGGGGAGGTGGGTGCGGCGGAGGCGGGGGCCGGGCTCGGTCACAGCGCAGCCTGGGGAGAGGGGCAGCGGCGCGGGCTCCGGGCTCTCGCTTCGCGTCTCCCTTATTGTCTCGCCCCTGCGCCCTGCATTCCAGGGCAGGAACCCCCGTCACCAGCCTCCGCCAATCAACGGCGCGCTCGTTGTGACGGCTATGGAACGTTCACTTCCCGCCGAACCGCACGCGGGGTTTAACTGCAGCGACCCGCTTCCGCCCGCGTGACGCAGAGCGGCGGGCGCGCGCGCGCTCGACCCTCACTGCCCCGCGACCTAGCACGGGCGCCGAGGATCCTTCCAGCCCAACCAGCAGGGGCTTCGCAGCCCTGGGCAACGGCACGCGCTGCACGGATCGTTCCAAGCCAATGAGAGGGGGGCTTCTCAGCCCTGGGCAGACACAAGCGGTGTTCCAACCCCATGAGCCCGGCAACAAGGGCGGGGAGGGGGCTTCGCACTCCCAGGCAGTGCTCTGAGCTGTGGGGTAGTGCCAGTCCCCTGGGCAGAGGCACTAGACTGGTGGAGATGGGAATTGGCAAAGCAGTAGGCAGTTGCCCTAGCTGTAAAAGGGGGGGGGGGGGAGGAATTTGCAGACTTGTGGCCAAGGGTGACCCGCTGAATGTCGATGCAGGTGCAACGCACACCAAAAAACCCAGTACCTGTGTTTGCGAAGTGGCAATTCTTTACCTAATTAAAAAAATGATTTTGCAAACTAGATTGAGCTTTGAAACCAGTGATGTATTTGTGAAATTGCTTTTGGGGAAGGGGGGCTGAGGAAAAAGGTCTTGCCAAGGCAGAACAAGGTAAATAGTGAGTCAGGATCTGTTTATATAATAATTTAAACCACAGAAACATAAAGAGAGGAACCAGGAAACAGTATATCCCCTGGGGATAGGAAGCAATTGTACAAGAAGCAGCTAGCTGTTTGCCAAGAACATAATGCTTCACAAAGGGCATTGCATTTTCCAGTTTACACTAGACTAGGCTTTTCTAATGCATCCATCACCAGAGTATTTAGGTGCCAAATACAAATTTATCTACAAAGGACCCTGTTCTTCCTCCACTTCTTGGTCCAGCTGCTGGTGGTTAGAAAAATATATTCCCCAGCAACAATCTTTCCATTAGAAAACGTATGTAAGTTATCAGAAGGAAAAATTGGGTTTGGTGTCATGCACTGAAAACATGCATATTCATTCTGACCTGTTGTGAGCAATTCCACTGTTAAAAGCGCTCCTCCAAAAGCCAGATGGTCCCTGTCAGCTTGTAGCAGGCCTCTGCACAGGAATTGTAACTAACTTCAGTATTTTTCATTGGTTCTGTTATTTTCTTCACAGCAAAAAACAGCTATCAAGATACCAATCACAATGTAAAATCTTTGTAAAGACCAGACAACACAGCCAGTCTAGGTGAACTCTCAGTGGGAGGGGCAGAGGTAGGCTTTTTCTCAACTATCTATCTTGGTAAAAACTAAATTGCCTGCCTTCTCTAGGATTTTACATTGCAATAGATATCTTGATGTAAAAAAGCACTTTTGCAGTGAAGACACAGCCTCTATGATAGCATAAAACCCCATGTATGTGAGGGGGTGGGGAAAACACTTTAAACTGGTTTAAAATTGCTTTATAGCAATCTAATTTGTTCAGTTACTATATGAACCAGCTTAAGACAATAACAGACTGAACTAAGCTAAATCAATATAAGCTAGTTATAAGCCAGCTTTATTGTGTTCATACGGGAATTTTCACTGTTTTAACTCAATTTAAATATTGATTTTAGTTAAATAAGTGCAATTTTTGTGTTTAAATGGCTAAAGTCTAGCAACAAACTGAATAAGGGGTTTTGGATAAAGTTTGAAAGATGAAAACATCCCTACAAAAAGGTTTTCCCCTCCAGAAAACTCTGCTGGGAGTCTATGCTCCTCCCAATGATCAAAGTTTCATATTAATAAACAGAAAAGTTTCATGTTAAAATTCAAATTAAAGAAAAAAGTATTTTCAAGGTTCAACCATGAAATAACATTTTCTTATCACCAGACTACCAACAGCTTCAACACCCTACACGCGATCTCCTAGAGGAAGGAAAGCAGGCAATATTTATATTCTGCCCCTTTTCCCAAGATTCATGGCTGAGAGACTAGGTGCTTTGTCCTGCCCGCGATTAAAGGGTATGGTTCTGAGTCCTGGATGGCATTATTAGCCTGGGTTCTGCCACTGCGATATAGTGGGACTACATTCTCTCTCTTCGTTTGCTTTATGCACTGGGGCTGCACTTATAAGAAAAAAACCTGGAATAGAGTAGCATGGCATATACAGGGGTTCTCAGACTATGGGGTAGGTCTCCTCTACATTCTCCTGCAGCGGGGGTAACATTGTTTCCTCCTAGGTGGCTACCCTAGTGGGCAGGCTAGTGAGCCATCCCCTCAGTTAGAGGGACAACTAGCTCCTGCCCTTTCACCAGTCAGCTCTGAACTGAACCAGGTTCTCTCCTTTTCTTCCCCCTCCATGTCTGGCATTGGCTGCAGGTATAACAGGGTGGGGCTAGATGGGGGCCAAAGGTTCTCTTTAGCCCTTGCTGTGCTGGCTGGCAGTTTCTCTGCTTCATCACAAGCACCATTTGCAAACAATTATTTTTTTATTAAAGACCTATATGGTCTTCCTTCCAGCCATTAGTGGAGTACCAGAACTGTCTTGCATAACCAATAAAGTTCTGGGATAAAAACAATGCTTAGTAAATCTTGGGTCTGTGATGGGGTGTATCAACACCACACTGGTGAGGCAAGGGTTAAGGAGCTGCTCTGCCTGCAGGAAGCCACACCCCCTTGCCTTTGCTGGACATGTTCCCGGTGGTGAGAGCATTCAAAAGGGAGCATCTCAGGATGTATGTGGACTGAGAAGGAGAGCAGGTGGGTGTAGCAGTTGCCTGCTGAGAAGATATTAGGCGTGAGCCTCTTAGCCAAACAGCTGGAAGTCCATTGACTGTGTTAGTTGAGAAAGATGACTCACTGTCACTGAGGGAAGGGATGCTGCAGGTGAACCTGGCAGAAATCCAGGAGGATTCTGAGACCAAGCTGTGACACAAACACAGGTACAGGAAACAGGGGTAGGAAATGACCCAGGAAGGGTGAGTAAGGGTACCAGACCTCAAGCCATGTATATGGCCTACTGCTTTGAAGGGCCCTGGGTTGGAACCTGGTAAAGTAGGGTGGGCTAGGGTTCCACTTCCACCCTGGGGACTGTAGCTACTAGGTAGAGCAGTGCTGGACCCCGGGGCGGCTCCAGGCACCAGCGCAGCAAGCACATGCCTGGGGCGGCAAGCTGCAGGGGGCAGCCTGCCGGATGCTGTGAGGGCGGCAGTCAGGCTGTGTTCGGCGGCACGCCTGAGGGAGGTCCGCCGGTCTCGCGGTTTCAGCGGCAATTCGGCGGCAGGGACACTGAAGGCATGGCAACGCATGCCGCCGAATCTGTGTGACCAGTGGACTGCCCACAGGCATGTCACCAAAAGCCGCCTGAGTGCTGTGCTTGGGGCGGCAAAAACATAGAGCCACCCCTGGCTGGACCCTCACCAATAGGTGGTGCTGCTGCTGGCCTGCGGCACATGGCCACCCCCTGGGACATATGAAATTTAAAGGGGCAGTACCTCAATCTCAGAGCCAAACACTTTTTTTTCTTTTCCCCATTGCAAATGTGGAAGTTAGTGTTCAATGTGAGACAACTGATCCATGCCCGTCTGCCATGTACATTGGCCAAACCAGACAGTCTCTATGCAAAAGAATAAATGGACACAAAATCTGACAGCAGGAATCATAACATTCAAAAACCCGTAGGAGAACACTTCAGTCTCTCTGGTCACTCAATAACAGACCTAAAAGTGGCAATTCTTCAACAAAAAAACTTCAAAAACAGACTCCAACGTGAAACTGCAGAACTGGAATTAATTTGCAAACTGGACACCATCAGATTAGGCCTGAATAAAGACTGAGAGTGGTTGGGTCATTACAAAACCTAAACCTAATTTCCCCCTACTGTTGTTCACACCTTCTTGTCAACTGTCTAAAATGGGCCACTCTCATTACCACTTCAAAAGTTATTTTTCCTCCTTTGGTATCCTGCTGCATCCGAAGAAGTGGGCTGTAGTCCACGAAAGCTTATGCTCTAATAAATTTGTTAGTCTCTAAGGTGCCACAAGTACTCCTGTTCTTTTTGCGGATACAGACTAACACGGCTGCTACTCTGAAACCTGCTGTTAAATTAATTGTCTCGTTAGACTGACCTCAGACTTGGTAAGGCAACTCCCATCCTTTTGTGTATTTATACCCACTCCTGTATTTTCCACTCCATGCATCTGATGAAGTGGGTTCTAGCCCACGAAAGCTTATGCCCAAATACATTTGTTAGTCTCTAAGGTGCCACAAGGACTCCTCATTTTTGTTGATCCATAGAAGTAATTTAAAAAAAAACTTTTTAGGGTACTCCTGTCAAAGTTGAACATACACTATTTCTTGCACAGTGAAAATAGATAGCTTGGAATATCCTAGCAGTTAAGAAATTGAATTATTGATTTTGTTTAGGTGTATTGCTGCTGCAGTGTTTGGCTCTCAAACCCACAATACTAGGAAACATCTGAACTTCAAACTTGCAAGGTTTTTTTTGTTTTTTTTTTAATAATTTTGGGAGCCTGTAATCCTCAATTTGTACCTTTCTTCTGAAGAGACATTAATGCAATATTCTAATTTAGTCACTTAGGTTTTATTCTTTCTAATTAAATATTTAATAAATTTTATTGTCTTTTAGATAAGAACAAAATAGGAAGCTGTCACCTTGCTAGACAAATCTGAGTATGGATCGGACACCTCTGATCCAATCTGCATACATAGGAAAACAGGTACTTAGAAAGTTGTTAGGTGGGGAAAATTAAATTACATCAGTCCTGCAAAACTTTAAATTGAATCAAAACTAGTAAGAATACTGTATATACAAATCAGCTTTTAACTACTAACTTCCCCTACCTTAAGAAGGGAAGTACAGATATTTTAAATAACCTCTTTCATGTGTTTTGGGTTTTTTAAGCAAGAGTTGACATATTAGTGGTCTAGAAAGGGTTGAGATGTCATTTTAAACTTGATTTGTTTCTTCCTTTCATAGATACTTTTCAAAGTTGCTGGAGCCTAGCTGTCACTACAACTTTCTAGAGACCAGGATTGTTTTCTCTTCTTCCCCGTCACCCAAATAAAAGTAAATACAGAAGTGAGTTTCCTTATTTACCTGATCTGGTCCCGGTTTGAGGGAGAAGAGATGCTGCCCATGGGAAAGGATGATGCTGCACAATGGAAGAATTCAAAATGGACAGGAAGTCCTCAGACTTTGGGGGGCGGGGGGAGGAGTAAAGCCTTCAACTGGAGTTAGGTGTAACATTTCTCTGACTCCCACTACAACTGCTCTCTGTAATAAGTTTCAATTAGGAGTAAAGTATCTCCTTGCTATGAGCAATACCAAATGATTAAAGGTTTCAGCTTATTAAACAGTCTACTGCAAACTGAAGGCTATAAAAAACAGAATTAAAATGAAATTTCAAGCTAACAGCTGGTATAATTTCTGTAATCCTCAACCAAAACCAAGCTATCTTCAAGCAAAACCAAAACACTCAGAAAGGAGCCAATTTCAGTTTGGAAATTAGAACACAGTGGCAAAAAGAGTGGAAGAGGTGACAGTAAAAAAACAAATGAACATCACTACCCTTTCATTCAAAGAAGAGAAAAAAGATTTCTTTAGAGTGTACTAACTTGCTTTTTCTAATAGTCACCAAGCTTCTCAATGGGAAAGAACATAACAAAAAGCCTGTCTATTCCAGTATCCTATATGTGATGCTGCCCAAAATGGGTACGTATGGGAGAGTGGAGAAGCTGTGTCAAAGGATGGGTCAGTGTGTGTCTGAGAGAGGGATGGGGAGTGCGTATGTGGGAATGTACAGTGTAAAATGAGGGTTGGGGTTTTGGTCAGTGTGTTGGACTGAGGCCTGGTCTACACTATGAAGTTAGGTTGACCTAATTATGTCAGTGTCTACACTTACATTGGCTGGGGCAAGGCTGTAATGCCCTAACTACACAACTCCACCTGCATGAGAGGCATCGGGTTTATGTTGGGGGAACAGGGCACTTACAACTCCACCTCCACAAGAGACATGGGGTCCATTATGTTGGTGTAGTTGGGGTGAGGCAGTGTCCCTGTAGACACTGGGACAATTTATTATATCAGTTGTTGGCTGTCATTCTTGTCAATTTCACAGCTGCCTGTTGGAGCCCTGAAATTAACAATAAAGGGTGGTAGGCTCCTTGCTGTGAACCCCCTGGCTCACAACTCAGACATCCCCTGGGGCGCTCTGAGCTGGATGCCCCCCCCCCCCCGCCTGCACTGCCCCACTTCTGTTGGTGGAAGAGCTCCTGGT